AACAGTTTTTACATATTGATAACTGCAAGGCACTAAGTGTTATTCTGGTTATCTGCTTTAAGTTCTGAACATTTGAAACATTATAATATTATCCACGGTTGTTTCTGCTTAGGCAGTGTCCTGAGATTTTCTCTATTTTATCAAGGGCTATTCTGTTTTTGAGTGTGTTAGTCGTCCACATTGCCCAGGCACAGTCCGCTGGTTTCTTCAAGTGCCAGGTTCTTGTATGTACACAATGGAAGTAATAATGGTCCGTGTCGCCTTCCTCTCCGCATTCGCAGAAAGGAGTATCCCTAAGTCTGAATCTGTTCAGGTATACTGGGAATGGTCCATGACCTGTCAAGAACTGTGTTAGGCTAGCGCAGTGGGTCTTTATTTCCATGTTAACTTTTGGCAGTAAGCGAAATGTCCTTCGTCTCAAAGTAAATTTTCAAAATTGCCAAATGTCAGCATATAAGTTAGTTCTGTCGCTTTCTTAGCATGCCTTCGTGGTGTAGTGGTCAGCACGCTCGGCGCGTATTCGAGGTTCGTGGTTCGAGTTCCGGAGATCAGAGCATTGGTAATTTTTCATCTCTCCTGCTTAAAAAAAATACCTAATGTTTCTACAGTGGCGCCCGAACTAAAAAAGGTGGTGGATGATGATTCTGCATCACCAGGATTTGGCGATTGGGTCCCCTAATCCCCAGTCTCCCTTTAAAAGGGAGAGTATATAAGGTATTTATCCCCCCTTCTTAGCATGCCTTCGTGGTTCGGGTCTCGGCGAGGGCATTGCTCATTTTTCATCTCTCCTGCTTAAAAAAAAAAATACCCAATGTCTTTACAAACAAACTCCTTGGCTTTTATTTTGTTCAACCATTTAAATTTAAGAAAAAAAAATGTAAAAGCAACTCTTTCACAAGTTTGGCGAAGATTTTTAAAAACTCTGACTATTTTGAGAACGATCAGATACAAGGTCTCTCTTCTTCAGACAGAAGATATCTGCATGGGGCTTTCTGAATCCGTAATACATCTTCTGAAGAACGTAAAGATGAAACCAGTGAATTCTCTAAAAATGCTGATATAAGAAGCGTCCTCCCAGTGTTAAGATTAAGGGTACAACTTCGATCAAATTATTTCCAGAAACAAAACACACTTCATAAACGAATTTTTGTGTAACGCTTGCAGAGAATCTACTAGTAACGACTTTTTTCGTAGTTATAATGGTGTGAAATGTATGTTAAATTAAATTAGTTAAATTCTATTCCTTATCTGAAGGATACTCTTTCTCATGTTTCACTTTATCAAAATAGCAGTGGACAAACGTGATCACATTAGCGGGTGCCTTCTGCAGAAAAATTAATAATCATTTTTCTTTTTAGAACTGATTTATGCATTAAGTTACTATCTCAAAAAAATCAGTTTCACGGCAGTTTGATCTGGAATCAGTTTCACGGCAGTTTTCGTCTGATCTAATGAATCATCTGATAACTTCGGCCAACTATATCGAAAATTCTTTCGAGAAATCTATTGAAACTTTACTGCCATTTGTAATATCATGGCGTGCTTTTAATGACAGTTATTTTCTCTGGGAGAGAAAAATTGTTTCTGACATACTTCTCAAGAAACTATTAAGACTCATGAATTGAACATAAAAGCCTGAAGGTCAAGAATTTCATTAGTTAATCAATAGTGGATAAAGACATTTCGAAACAGTTCTTTCGAGCGCAATAAATTTTGAATCAAGTCTCAAATGGGATGTCTGAGACATGCATGTGAGGAAATGTTACCACATTAGAAAATTAATTGCTATGATTGATATATACCAGTACCTTACTTTGTCAGTTAGCTTTAATATAATGAAAAGTAATTGTCTGAATAACAATGCTGGGATAAATAATTAGTGTATGTTCTACGATTATAATTAGGATGTCATAAAAAAAGCCCATTTATTTCGGATAAGCGTGATTTAACATATTAAAAGAATAATTTAGTTTACTATACAACACATAATTTAATGTAATAATAAAAGAATAATTTAGTTTACTATGCACAAAAATGGAATTCTTGTGAGCTTCAGGTAAACGCTGCTTCTAGTAGGTAACCATCTAATAGGCGACCACCGTCATCTCTTATGAAGGGACAGACAATTTACATTTATGTCTTCTCCAAGATTCGAACCTGAGCCCTTTGGCAAGGCAGTCAGAGTCACTAACCACTTCCCCGATTTGGCGGGTTTACTACGATCTTGAACTTCAAAATAGACCTGTGTTAAGTGCAAAACCGAAAATTCGTAAAAGAAAGGAAGAGATTAACAGGTGCAGTTAAATAGCTAATTACATATAACCTTAAAAAATAAAAGGTCGTTTATTAATTTATTTCACACCTAAAACAGCAAATTTATGATCCATTATGACTTTACACATTTCGTTCATAAGAAAGTCATCCATAAATCATGTATAAACTCAGAATGATATGCCATTTTTAACACACTGAACAAAGCATGTATGAACAACGAATATGTACAACGAATATACCGTTACAAAGCTAAATGAAACCTCTTCAAGACAACCATCCATGGTTTCAAACAATTCTGATCTTCTGTAAAGGGCGATTAGCTGTTAGAGGGATGATGTTCAATACGGATGTATTGAATTTGAAATTAAATTAAAATTTTAAAAAAAATCTGAAAGGTTTCAAATTTTAAATTATGTCCAAAGGGGCGTTATTTTACCCTTTTTTGTTACCTTTATTTATTAAATATCATGTTCCTTGCCCTTAAACCATAAAATTCAGTTCAGTAGCAATGTCGCAAAATGCTTTTAAAATGAGCATATATTTAGAATTTCCGATACACAGTTCCACGCGCTGGAGATAAAAAGGTTTTTTTCCCCTGCAGAGTGTTGCTATTGCTCGCTTTGAAATCCTTGAGATTGTTAATCCAAAATTCGATAAAGTTTTACAAAATATGAAATCGATAATAAAACAAATTCCAAATTTCAAATTTGGTCTTCCACATGCCTATATTCCTAGGAGGATTACGTCATTATATATATATATATATATATATAATAATAATGATAATTCAAAGCAAAATCGATAAGTCCCCCAAAGCACAGCACAGATAGAATGCATTAATATTTTATTTTAAATGTAAAACCATACACAGGCATTAAAATTGATGAACCTTTCTGTTACCACTAAAAAAACTTTTGTTTAATAAAGTATTTTGAAAATTAAAAAAATTAAAGGCAATAATATATTTCCAACTAAAAACTTTTATACATAATTAATTTCGTAACGCAGAAAAGAATTGAATTTCAAATACAGGATGTCCATAATTTAATCACCGGATAACAATATTGTAATTTTACGAAGTAACAGGAAATAATTTATATCGATATAATCTTTAGTTCAAGGAGTTTCTTTTGTTCTCATTTTGGGAATGGCAACAGTGAACTTGTTTGTTTACAGAAAAAAAATGGTGGCATGCATTGAAAAAGCAAAGTGCATTCTCTGGTCATGGGAAATGAAATCTCCCAAAACAATTTAGGGGTGATTCCGGCGTGAATTTATTACATCTTCACCAAAAATAAATTAAAAATGGTTAAAATAGTTTCGACAATCCGGACACGTTTTGCATAAAGGAAGTGCAGGTAGGTCGAGCGTCAGTGATGGAAATGTTTCCGCCATTCGAGCTAGTGTTTAATGTCGGTCTCAGTAAATCCATTCGCTGTGCCAGCCTGCAAACAGGAATTCTCAGTTCTACTATTCATAAAGTCGATCATGAATGGCTGAAACTGACTGTTTATAAATTGCAGATTTGTGAATAAATCAAACCTGATGACTGAATCGTTCGTAAGAAATTTTTTGTGGACATTCTTGGTCGTATCTGTGATGATAATCACTTTCTTCAGAAAATCGTATTCAGTGATGAAGCAACATTTCATGATCGAGGAGAGGTTAATTGATATTTGTATGTCAAAAAGCCTGCATTTTGTAAGAGAAATTGAGCGAGAAATTCCTTAAGTTTCATGCACACTAACTCATAACAAAGTGATTTGCCCTTCTTTTCTCGGAGTCATCAATTAATTCGGATGATTACTTCGATATGCTGAGATTGCATACGGTACACCACAATTAGAAGAAATGCAGCCAAATGTTTTTACAACGGAATAGCACCCCCGTACATGTTACACATGTATATGTGTTCTTTGATGAAATATTCCCAGATCATTGGACTGGTAGAGGTGGGCCAAACGTTCTCCGAACGTCACACCACTCGATTTCTTTTTCTGGGAATACATGAAGAACCGAGTTTATGCTGCAGATATTCGCAACATCGAAGAATTCAAATCGATTTACCACAGAAACAGCTGCTGTGATTCCGCAAATGCATAAGAACGTCTAGAGGGAAATTGAGAACAGACTTTATATTCTCCGAGCAACTAATGGTGAAGTGATTAATATAAAATGTTTGAAGTACTAAATAAAATTCTGTCAGTCTTTTTTCCCTATCTCTTATTCTATGTTATTAAAAACAAATTTTATCGGGCAAATAAATTATGAACATTCTGTATAATATCACTTATAATCATATTAGAATGTAACATACTAGCATTTAATTTACATCATTAAATTTTTACTTCCTCGAAGCTCCAGCTGCATTATGAGTTCAATGCTTTTATATTTTATAACTCTTAAAAGACTAATTGTCGAGTTTCACAGTGAACTGAATTTACTGCATGAGACAATATGTTTCTTCATCTGTGCGAAAAATTTAGAATTTCTTTCTTTTTAAATTTTAAGCTTAATTTTAATTTAATAAATGTGCATTCTTTTCTATATAATAATTAATAATCTATAATAGTATCCTCATGGATAGATAGCATTAACTTCAAAAGTCTATGATATCTGTAGAATTCAACTCTCATTAATATCTGAATAATTCTATTACTTTCTTATACATGCACCTTTAGATACATATATACCTTTCGATAAAGAATCTAACAGCAACTTCCACATTCATATGAAAGAATATTTTATTAATAATGTATACTACACACATTTCCAGTATAAATCCTGGTAGATGATTAGTAACAAATATCACAACAAACAACATATTTAGTAACAAAGGTATATGGTTGAAACCATTATTTAAACAATAATGCAATGAATTTAAACCTAGTTGTCGTTGAGATATTAACATAACTTACACATTTATACTACAATCTTATTCTGAATCCTTTACTCTTGAGCGGTGATTGGCCAATACAGTATTGGCCAATCGCCGCTCAGGATTAAAACAAAGGACTTTCCGAACTTATAAATACTACTGCAGTTATTACACATCAACTCTTTTACTTGCTTGCTCTGCCTGAAAAATTCATGTGTTTTTCCTAAAGTTATTTTTTTCCTATTATCTGAAATTCAAACTGCGTATATAGAAATTGTGGGGCGCGTTTAGAATTCCTAGTGTGGTAGCAATTTCAGCTAAAATGTAATTCAGAGTAATTGTTCCTGTTCAAAATAAAAATGATGTTTTAAACATCAAACAAGTTGTGATTTTTCACTCTAGTCAAATCTACGCAACAGTTTTATCAGCCATGAATAAAAAGTAAATTGTTTTTGTCTTCTTTAGTCAGCTCTCTGCTAAATTCTATCAACGTATCACGACTGCGAACCTATAAAATATCATATACATGTGTGGGCGTGTACAATAAATTACAGTTATTACATAAATCCAGTACTAAATTTGAAAATCAGAGGTAAAAAGCTCAGTATTTTTAATTTACTGAAATTTATTAAAAAATTCAGTTTATCAAGAAGCAGAAAAATTATTTTTATTGTGAATTGTAAGATTTTTACGATTATTTAACCTATATACAGTAACATATAGTATATAATTATAAATAATATAATTAAAAATTATATAAAGGTGATTATGACTAGTTATAGCTACAAGCAAAAATAATAACTTAAAAATTATTTTATATGCATGTTTAAGCATTGCATAAAATAATGAACAAGACTCTCATGCGAGGTATTTTTAAAATTTTCTTTAAACCGATATTTTATAATTGAAATATTTTGGTTGGCATCTTTACATCACTTTCAGTACAATTTTGAATAATATATAAAAAAAAAGTTAGCACCTTCACCTTCTCGTTTTTATAGTAAAAATTCCATGGTGATTTTAAACTTATACTCAATTTTCAGGTAAATGCAGGCTCTCATTTTGTTGACTATCAAAGTCAGGCTATTTGCAGACACTTGATATTAGTGTAGCTATGCTTTTGTTCTTTGTTGCATTAGTAATGTCACTGTCTATAATAAAACCAGTTTTTCTTGAGTAATTAAAACTAAGCCTTTTTAAGACAGGTTTACGAGTAAAGTGAGATTCTATTTTACCTGATCTCTATGGCTTTTTTATCAAATGAATAAATACACGTGTTTAGATAATTGAAAGAGAGCAATTGATAACAAACGTATAATATTTTAAGGTTATTTTGGTTGTTTTAATTCATATCAAAAGTAAAAGTGTACCTGAATTTATCTTACCAATGAAAAAGTAATTTATTATCATTCATATTTAGAATAAGGCAGTACGTTCATGTATATTCAAATAATTCAAATATCCTTGCCATTCATTTAAATTCATGTTATATCTTGAAGCACCTTTATCCAAAGAATTTAAAATAGCTAATTAGAAAATGAAATTCAGCTGATAATTATTTAAGGTAATTAAGTCTCTTTTGTTAAACTTTAAAGTAAATGATTTAAGAAATAAACATCTGTATACAAAAAAAAAAAAAAAACACGGTAAAAAATAAAAAAGGATACATCTTGTATAAAGTCTCAATGAAATATATATTGTTTTGTCTGTATGTTGTAGGTATTTGTCTGTAAATATTTAAATTCGTTTTACTGCAATGTTGCATTTTTTTTTTCAAATTTGTGGCTACATATATTTTTTATTTTCATATACGTGTTGTTCCTTATATGGAATAGTTGATTTTGTTTTTCTAACAAGGGCAACAATCAGGATGTAAAATTAGCACACGATCAGAATGTAAAATTAGCACAAGTAAAACGCGAGATCACAAGCCTTGGGGACAGATCATTTCTGAATTTTCTGGAAGCTTGTTTCTTAGAAAAATATAGCTAAGTGAGCTCCAGCAGGTTTTTGTTGATCCTGTTTTGGTTGTTATTCAGTTGCGAAATTTAACTGAACTGCGAATTTACTGTGCAAGTGATTTTAGCAGTTGCCGGCATTTCCCGCAGATTAAGAAGGAATAGCTTATACCTGTGTTCTACTTAAGCTGTTTCAAGTTATTTAGTGTACTGTTTGTAATTAATTTTTAGAATAAATTGTTAATTTCTTCCTGTTATTCGAAGTAATCATTAAGAGATATCAGAGATATCACTGAACCGTAACCCGTAAAACTTGGTGCCAGAAGTGGGATCTCTTATGAATGAATGTCTATAACTAAGAGGAGTAAAGATCACTTAAAAGCCATCATAAAGATGAAAGTCCCAAGTTCCGTGGACACAATCGTACCGAATGCCGCTGAGAGGCAGTAGCGAATGCCACTGATATGAAAGAGAGCATTTCTGCGGTTGGGGAAGGAATATGAAATTTGGATATGCAGATTTCATTGCCATAAACTCCAGTCTGGAAACAAACGCAGTTCCACAATACATGGTTCCACCCTAATGCACATGCAGCATCGAGCAACAGCTGTATATTAACCCAGCTGTCAGCAGAGGATAATAGAAGTATATACCGGTAACAACAGTTTACCACATCCAAGACGAAGTTTGTTAACTATACAACTGGATCAGTCCGAAGTAATGAAACTGGGTGCGCCTTTGTTCAGTACACCAAACAAACAAGAATTCTAGACATGGAAAGCACAACTTACGCCCAACAATATCATCTTCCAAGCAAAAGGGTACTTATTAGCAATACTGCAGTACCTCATGCTGTAAACAACAGATAGTAGTACGCCTGTTTTTACAGCAACAGTATCCCAGCGCTACGCGTCGTCCTAAATCCCGACCGAAGGTCTCATATCATCAATAATATTCAAAGTAACCTATGGCGCTTCAGATGCCTTAATTTCCACCTCCACTGGATAAAAGCACATATGGGAAATTACGGAAATAAGCGAGCACAAGCACTGGCAAAAGGTTGCCGCTTTTTCGGATGGTACAAATTACCCTTTCACCATCGATGGGGAATAGCTGATAAAATTTGCTCTTTATAATCGATTGCTAAGTCTCGATACTTCGTTTACGTTTTATGCAGAATTGTGGTAAGGCTCTATGTAGAAAATCTTGCAGAAAGGAAAAGGCCTACCTTATTTTTTTTCTTGTTATATAGGAGACTCTACGCAATGCGAATAAATCTCTATGATACAGTTAATCGTTTCCATTATTCGAATTAATTCATCATGAGACCTTTATAAAACTCTTAATAAACATAAATTGACTCATATTCCTGATGCAATGTTCAAAAGTATTGATATGCTTAGTTTAGTTCTCTTGTTAATGAAAAACAGCAATTATGCATGTAATGAGTCTAAAATGTGATGAAAATTAATATATGTCTGTATTGTTGTCTAAGCAGAAATAATGCATGGTTATATAAAATAGATATTAGAATGTAGTGACTGTTTATGTACGATTTAAAATAATAATTAAGGATGGTAGAGCACATGAGGGGGAAAATAATTGAATTTTGTTTACTTAAAAACTTCATAATCGATAAACAACGCCCACTTTCTTATCGATGATATAAGTCTCTCTATCGATGGTGAAGGACAGTTTGTGCCATCCGAAAAGCGACGAACCTGGCAAAAGAGGCAGCTCGCAACATCGAAGCGAATTCCCTGTTCTGCCCTCACCAGACCCTTATCTCAAACGAGATTTCTTTAGGGCAAAATGGCAAGATGAACAGGACCATACATTACAAGGTCATCGTGCCTATCCGTTCTTTCACAAAATCAGCAACAAAAGATGTACTTAAACTGATTAGCTAATACACTGTATTAGAGGTCATAGCTCATTACCAATCTATTTTCATAAATGTTGCCTTAGTGGTATGTGCCAATGAATTTTCGGAAGTACGGTAATTGTATTTGTAGCTACATATATTTTTTTAATTTTTATAAGTGCTGTTTCTTATATGGATTTGTTGATTTTGTTCCTCTGAGTATGGCAACGTTCAGAATGTAAAAATAGCTTATGTAAAGCTTACGTAATGTGTTGCAGTTGTTTTGGCTATTATTCTATTGCGACATTTAGCGGAATTGTGAGTTTACTCAGCAAGGAATTTTGGCAACTGCCGATATTTCTTGTGCATTAACTAGGAATTGTTTATATCTGCTTAAGCTGTTTAAGTTATTTACTGTGTTGTTTATAATTAATTTTAATAATAAACTGTTAATTTCTTCTTTTATTCGAAGTGATCATTCAGAGAGATATCATCGAACCGGCAGCCCGCAACAATACGAAACAAACAAAATGTTGTGACATCAATAATTTATGAGCCCGCATTGATAATTCTGAAGTTATATGAAAATAACTGTTAATGTTGAATAAGCGCCTCATGACTAGCACTTATACCAGTAGATGAATAAGCATAATTTAAACATTTTCTAAAGCCAAACTAACATAATTTTTCATGGTCAATATCGAGACCTCTTTTCTGTGTAATGATAAATATTAATTAGAAAACTACAATGACATCTTAGTTATTTTTTTTTCTTTGGGGCAGTGCCAAGCTTATAGATTGTTAAGAACGAAATGATAAAATGTATTTTTTTTTCCTAAAAAAAGTACGATAATATGAGACGGAATATAAATCTCCACAAATAAAAAAAAAATAAAAATTATAACAAAAAAATTAAATCTATAACTTATTATATAAGCCACCGAAAAACTGCAAGCTCTATTCTTTTAAACACATACAGAAGAAAGAGGAAAATTAAAACTCTAATATTTTTTCCACCAAAAACATTCTAAGTAGAAAACACTATTTTCTCTAAAGTTCCGAGATCCAAAACGAATAATCACTGTCTTCCAATAATGAATCATTGGTTATACTTTCTGTGATATCTCCTGGCACTTGGAGAATGTTCTTGATATGATTCATTCTCATAAGTTAGAGTTCTAGCGTTATTTTCTTTGTTCTTTGAGTGAAAAGCGGTTTTTTCTACCTTATTCCCACTTTTCTTCGCATAACCATGGTTTTTATTGGGCGAATCATTCACTGCAACATTTGGGTTATACGGATAACCACTGGATTCAGTATAAGATATAACGCCGTTATTGGAATGTCTGCGTCTTGTAGGTTCTGGTGAATCTGCATCAAAAGTTGGGTTTCCATACGTTTCAGCTCTCTTGCCTTCTGGATCTACGTGCTGCTGAATATGTTGCTGCCAAAACCTGAAGTTTTCAATGACACATACCATAGTGACGAGTATATCGGCTCCAATTACTGATATCTACAAATAAAGAAAAAGTAGAAGATATCATGACAAAGATAAAAATTAAGAAGGTGCAGTTAAATTAATAAAATAATAGTAATAAGCATTAAGAATGACAAAATCTTTGACACAAATACATGAAAATAAGTGAATTATTGGAGCTAGTTTTGTCTAGGAAATCTTCCAAAAACGCAGTGGCATGCCGTAGCTTTTACCGAAGAGGATTAAGTATGAAGAAAAATTATAATTCTTTCTAAGATGATCGCACATGAAGGGAGTGATGATGGTTGTCTTAGGTAAAATTTAGTAGTAGTATTTTTGTTCTTAGAAATACAATGGTCATTTTAGAGAGGTAGTTGTCAAGATAAAATTTATTGTACTTTTTAATATGAAGACTAATGAGTACAATAATGGTTTAATATAGTTTTTGTGTTTTTTGAACATATATTATCCCAAAGAATATAACAAACAAGCGAAAGAGACCGTAGGGTTGTGACATTGGCAGCTGATGACCGTGTTGTCATAAAACGGCTTCAAAGGTAACTTGCACATGCTACGTAATAAAATATTGCCTTCGAATCTTGCTCCGTAATGAAATCTTGCCTTTACTTCGAATTCCTTCAAACACCATAAGAATGTTTTCATGAAGGCGAATTAAAATACAGCACTAAATGTTAAATTAATTTCGCTTATTAGAATTGCGAGAAAATCAAAATTTCTTATGACTTACTGCCACTAGTTAACAGTATGTCTACAGCAGCTATGGGAACAGGTGAAAGCGAGCTAGTCGTTCCTGGCACAGAGCCCACGCGGTTTCAGCTCCTCCCTTTTGCACGAAAATCTGACTACATTTGAATGGCGCGCTGTTTCAAAAAGAGGTAGAATTATGTTTCTTTTAACCCTTTGACTGCTAACTAAGTTGAAGCGCTTCGCGTGTGCGGCCGCAAAATCACTGACTAAATAAACCAAATTAAATTTTTTCTCGTTGCTAAGTAACGAACAAGATGTGGTTTCTGCGAATTCTTCAAAGTGTTGAATATATACCATAGAAGATAAAAATTAAGAAGGTGATAATAGATAAAAATTAAGAATAATTTCCGAACATATATATGAAACAGAAGTAAACAGCCAAAGCCTTCGCATTTCCGTCCCTAGTCCACACCGATGGCTTGCGTCGGACGCACATATGCGTCCATAGGCCACACCGATGGTTTTTGCTGGACGCATATAAGGGCCCATAGCAGTCAAAGAGTTAATGATTTTGAATGTCAGGTACAAGCATGCGTGAAAGTTGTTAATGCATAAAATGTTAGGGGACTAGCATAGCCTCTCTGGTCCATAGACGGTGCGCCACTGCAAGACGGATTCTTCATACACCGCACATGTTGCCGCAACTGAATAATCAAAGCAATTCTTGAAATCATCTTTTCCATTTCTTTCATTTACGTAAACAGTGCAGAAATCTTACTGTATGATACAATCAAAGATATTAAGTATTTTATATTGCGAGCCATTCTCCATTTTATTTGTTGTTGCTTGGAGCAAAAACTATCATTTAATGATAGCAATATCTATCCTTCCAAACATCTGTTAAAAGTCATGTTTGTATAGATCTCAGCATTCATACTCTTAAATTAATAACACTGTTTGATAAAAGAAGAGAAATTATTTTCTTTTGTAGAACGTTAAAAACAAGCTGTCAAGAGTTTTTTTAATCTTAGCAGTATGTATGTACACCGACAGGGATGAAAGGTTTAAACGATTTTAATACATTGAAATTGTACGAAAAAATACACTTTGGAACCAAAAAATTTCATTCTAAAGAACTGAACCTTTTTTTTTTTTCACCGCAACTCACTCGGTAACAATTCTTTTTCGTCATGGGATAAAATTTGCCGAATTATTTGACGGTCGATAAATATTATTCATTTAGCTTAGAATTTCTTTTCCCACCGTAATGAAGTTTCAATAAGAGATGTTAGAGAGGGTACTGAAACTTATATTTTAACAAAGTGCATAATCATAGCCACTGCTAATTTTAATGGTAAAAAGAAGACCTGTATCCTTTCTGTCTTGGATGCTACAGTCTTTGCATATCTGAAAAGAGTTTTGTGATAAAGATCTCATCTTAAATTCTTTATGACCATTAAGACTAACTATAAAAATTGCGATAACAAACCGCACATTAGTTGCAATTCACTGCTATTATAATGAATCCAAATTTAAGAAGATCAATGGCACAATTCGCGGGGTGTAGCCACGATTTCTAAGAAAAAAGTGGTCATAAAAAGAAAGAAAACTTAACATGCTATTGAAATGAAATTCTGTGCCGCCCAGTTAAAGTCAGAAAAACACGAGATGAATAGTATTCGTCGGAAAATGAAAGATAAAAAAATTAATTTGGAGTTCTAGCGAAAACAGACCATTAGACTGAAAGCCACAGACATATAAACTTCCATTTTTAATACAGAAATCTGAGTAGTACAAATCAACTCTTCAAGGTTTCGTTCATTGAAAAACTGCTTCTTTTTAATGTCAGATCGCTACCAGTTCCACATTTTTTAATACGTAAGAAGAATGCTTTTATTAATCCATATTAATTTAATGGAACTTAAAATGAGTTCATTTACTGAATTTTTAAACCGACTGATCCTTAAAGTTATCTCTTTAATGAAATAGAAAATTTAATGTGATAAATCCTCAAAAACTGGATATTTGTAATTTCATAATAATAATAAATAAAAAAAACTACAGGTAAAGCACAAGCCCACAACATTCATCGTGGTACGGAGTCAAATGCGCCACTCGTTGGCAAGAGCCTTGAGCCCCATATAGGTGATAGCCTGACTTCAGCTCAGTTCTGCCCGCAATTGTGAGAAAGAGCAAGCACCCCGGGGGACGGGTCCGAAGGTCTCTCACCCCTCTTGCCCTACTACCAACCTCTCGAAAGGACTTTTGACTCGCCGCATATTTAAGAATGCGCCCACGGCGTTCAGAAACTTTCTTTCTTTCCACTGATGGCGGGGCAGACGATTCACTGGGGAACTTAGAATATCGGCCAATTGGCTCCGCTGCCGGAATTAACTTTGTAGAGACATTAGGATTTTTTGGAAGCCAACGAGATGAAAAATTAGCAACCGCCTTCGCCAGGAATCGAACCACGGACCTCTGGAATACCGGCCCAGCGTGCTACCGTTACACCACGAAAGACGCTAGGAAAGGGGAGAAATACCTTATACTTAGCTCAAAATCTGGTTGCAACTTCATGCCTCTGTTTCGTAGGGGCACTAAATGTTGTGTTTCAGTCCTTTTCAAAAGTCCACAAAACACTTTGGCGTGTTTCTTGCCACATGAATGCTAAAAGGGGCAAGCAAAAGGGTGCTGGCTGAGTCGGTGGTTCAGGAATAGAAGAAGGACTCGGTGTGGGTAAGGAGGACAATTCGCGTCAGACACGTATGGAGCCAGAGATGGATATATACACAGATTAAATACTTCTACTAGGTGTCTTCTTTTTTCCGCGACTCCTGTTTCCGCAGTTGTCAAAATCATTCTTGTTTCCGCGAAATCATCAATCTCATCACCCTTTCAAAGGCTTAAATGTGTGGTGGGGGGGGAGCGAGTGACATGGCTATCCGAAGGTAGGAAGCAAAAACATTTTTAAATTTAAAAGAAGAATTTTAAAAAATAATTGAAAAATATTACGATTCGATCTTTGCATGAATGAAGATAATATTGTATTAAAAGGAGAGAATGTTCAACCTGCGATTATTGTGGCATGAACAAAAGATTGTTTCCTAATAAAAAAAATCTCTTCCAAATTATGCATAAAGAGATTATAATAGAAACTCTCAGAATAAATTCTTTCTAAACAACGTTATTTTTCTAAACGACGATTCTTGGTCTTAATTACGCTTTTGCAGCTTTTATTTCTTTATGAGCACGGTTTACTCTCCTTGACAAAGTAAAAATTTTTATTTCAGGTATATCGTAACATAGCTGCTACAGATAAATATTTCGCAAGCTTTATTATATTGACTCATATACCACATTGATGCAGGATTTTTACTTCACAAAATAGAAATTATTCGCTAACGACTAGCTAAATTTACCTGTGACTTAAATATCTTCCTCACTCGTGAATCAACGCCGCTGTAGTTGAATTTATTACTGAATTACTGTAGTAATAATAATATTTAATTAACGTCTTTGATGTTAGCAATTCAGAATCGGAGGATAAACTTTTATTCAAAAGAAATTACTGCTGCGAATATTAGCATTGCAGATAGAGGTACAGAAATTGAATTCAAGTTAAATTATGGGACTGGGGAAGAATGCATTTTGAAATACTGTAGCCATGGTAAATGAAGCTTTAGTAACATCAGAATACGGTAGAAAAAAGCAGGGGGTAATTCATAAGATGACGTTAAATTATAAATTTTAAACGTTTAAAAGGACCACTGATTATTTTTTAAAGTTTTTAAATGAATTATTCATGTTCCGCAGTATGTTAGGTTGCAAATTTTCTTGTTTCGCGAAATCATCATCTCATTACCCCTTCGAAGGGCTTAAATTGTGTGGGGGGGGGAGCGAGTGGACCTTGGCCTATCCCGAAAGGTAGGAAAGCAAAACATTTTTAAATTTAAAAGAAGATTTTAAAAGAAAATGAAAAATATTTACGATCTCAGATCTTTGCATGATGAAGAAATATTGGATTTAAAGGAGAGAGATGTTCAAACTCTGCGATTATTTTGGCAATGACTAAAAGATTGTTTCCTAAAGTAAAAAGAAATACTCTCCCAAATTTGCATAGATGTTATAATGAATCTCTCAGAATAAATATCGTTCTAAAACACGTTCTTCTTCTAAACGACGACTTTTTGTTAATTACGCTTTTGCAGCTTTTATTTCTTCATTGATGCAAATCCTAAACTACTTTTTTCTTATTTTATTTGAATTCGATACGATAACCTTATAAAGCATAAGGGTTTTTTTTCCTTTTAGTTCATAATGTCAAATATCATATTGATTAATATAAATGTGAAAATAACAGCTAATATGTGCAGAATTAAAATGGAATGAAAGTTAAGAATCAGAGGAGCTTAAACAAGACAGTCTTCAGCTACGAGATAACTTATTCACAACGAACTGCCCAGCTTTCTCCTGAGGAGTGGGCGAGGGTTGCCCGAGCAAAGATGTTAAGCAACGTATTAAGTGCAACGTTTTCGTACTTGCTAAAGCTACGTATAAAGCCGCGCAGGGACTGTGGGGTCTGCGCTGCCACTGAGCGGTTTCCAAGGCCCGAATAACTCAACTTCGAAAGGTAAGAACCAGGACGAGGATTCTGGCCTTGGCGTCCTGTACTCTCCGATTTCGCGGGAACAGGAAGAATTTTGAAAAACGCGGAAACAGAACTAATTCCTATTACTAGGTTTCCACACTAAGACCAATTCATGAATTCTGTAAGTAATTACTATACAGGCGTGACTGAGTTACATGGATATTTAGGACAATCAGCTATGTAATACACTGAGTACGACTAGGAACATTTGACGGAATTACTAATACAAAAAGATATAGATTATAACGGGCAATCTATTAATGTTTATTAAATTTAATTTATTATTATATTATAAAAAAAAATATTTATAAATATTCACGGTTAAATTAGAGTACATGACATTAATTAAAAGTTAATATATTCATATATATTCGCACATATATTAAATAATAAAAATTAAAAACTCATGAAAAAGAAATAAGACAAAAGCAGATAAAAATAAATAGAGGATAGCAGAAAATTTTGATATTATGCGCGATACTGACGCAATCGCGTATGCATTTCAAAGCATAGCGATTTTTTTTAAGTAACTTCAACCCATGCACGGATATGCTCCTCCTGGTAGTCTAAAATGATATTCTGCAGTCTCTGTGCAAGTAAACGCATAGTAATCGGGACAACCTGCCACCCCGCATGAACACTGTTCACTTTCACGTCGTCTAAAGCGACACAGTTAAATTATGAAGGGCCTATGCCCTGTTACAAACTGAGTAAAGAGATGCAAGCCACTTCTTAGAAGCTAACCTACTTTGGGAAAAAAAGCCTGTAGACTCTTCTCCAGTACTCCAACATTCTCTGCTTTAAACAGATATTTACAAACATTTTATAAACATTCAAAATTGAGGGCGGAGTTGAGCAAAGTGGTACTGTAACCTGCATGGTGCCCAAGGCTCTAGCTAATGGCACGCACAATCTTGCCTCTTTGCCCCGACGAATTTCGCGGACTTGTTCTGATTTCAGACAAGCGAGATTAATCACAAAAACATTGTAATAAATTAATTTCAATTATGAAGCATAATCAGAGGAAATTATAACATTAATTCCCATTGACTATGTTGACCTTGACTATAACTCCCACTGACTATGTTGACTTTGACTATAACTCCCACTGACTATGTTGACCTTGACTATTACTCCCACTGACTATGTTGACCTTAACTATAACTCCCACTATGTTGGCTCGTTCAAAATAAAATAAAAATACACACTCATGATAGGAACAAATTTATGAACATTTCAACTGCCTGCTTCTTAAATCATATATAGCATAAATGTGCACGTGGGATCGACTGAATCTTTCGGTTTCTGATATGCATTTAAATATAGGAATTCTCCGCTTTGCGGATAGTCGTCCTACGCCACTTTTGATTTTACAAAAATGTATTTTCGTTTAACAATAAAGTTTCAACAGCTTTCATGGACGTTATAAAAAGAAGGTGAGAAGCAAACATATCTTTCACCGTTTTTCACGCTATGTTTACAGAAATGAGTGACTTATATGATATGAAAATATGAAAACGCATAAAAGTTACGCATACGACAGGTTTAAAGGACGTTTTCATTACCTGCAAAGAGATACACAGTCAAAAAAATATGTCACATTTAGCAGACAAGCACACTGTCTTACTTTAGGAATTTCATAGCATAAGATCGGCTATTGACATTGAGGCAGACAGACAGAGAAACTGCTGATACAGAAACGGATGGTTAAAAATTATAATAAGGTATTAATAAATTACCTGCATCTTCTCACATATGTCGTAGATTCTATATCTCCTACTACCGATTACTTGACGATTCATGTTTTTTGCACCATCTCCACTGCCACTAGTCTTCTAATGTGCTCGCTATCTTTTACATTTTGAAAGTTAAAAATATATTATAAGTGTATTACTTCTATTTTAAAGCGCTTAAGCGTTGATTATTTAAGTGTTCTGATCGTTCGGATTCGGACTGAAATTCCTTTTTTACTTTTCATGTTAGTTTAGGTTTTTAGGAGGTATTAGCTATGATTCTACAAGACCTTTCGAAAACCTCAGAACAATAGAAAATTTTTCTGATGTCTATTAATACTAATTACTTTATAAAGTATTTCTCCTGCTTTCTTAGCAAGCTTTCGTAGTGGGGTGATCTGCACGCTGGGCGCGTATTCCAGAGGTCCGTGGTTCGATTCCCGACGAAGACGTTGCTCATTTCTCACGTCTTCTACTTCCAAAAAAATAACCTAATGTCTCTACAGAAACGCCCGAACTAAAAGGGTGGTAGATGATGATTCTCCCCACCCAGGATTTGGTGATTAGGTCCCCTAAAATCCCAGTCACCCTTTAAAAGGGGTATTTCTCCCGCCTTCTTAGCATGCCTTCGTACTGTGCTGGTCTGCACGCTGGCCGCGTATTCCAGAGGTAAATGGTTCGATTCCCGGCGAAGGCGTTGCTCATTTCTCCCTTCTTCTGCTTCCAAAATTAAATAAATAAATAACCTATGTCTCTACAACTTCTTTGATTTACACAATTTCGGTTTACGAAAATTTTCACTCAAAGGATGCGCTTTCGTAAAACGGGAAAAACTTGCATTTAATTTTAAAATATAAATTCCTATTTAATAGTTTTCAATGTTAAAAAATATATGATATTATTCTCGTCAGGCGGTTTAAGGTGTTTGACACCTCTGAACAAATTTTGATACAAAACTCGATAAAAGAATACATTTGAGGTTTGAGGTTCTATGCATATAAGAATCGATAAATCTTAACAGTAATCATTCTAGTTTATGCAGGAAATTATCCTACCTGTATCCAGAAAGACCATCCTTTAGTAACAGAGTATTCAGATTGAAGATTTTCTCCTACAGTGGCAAATATAGCAACTAATATGGCAATAATCACTGAAAAGAAAGATAGCTACAATTTTTTAAAGTTCAAAATGCGCATAAACCAGTAAGATCGGCATAGACATAAAATGGTTATAAAACTGCAAACAATTTTCATATTTTCAAACTGCAAAAAATTTTCATAATTCGTCCGTCGGCTAGAACGCCTTCTTCACACTAGAGAAATCTTTCATAAAAAATACTGCAATCATGAAAATATATATTTTACCATTATGCCATTTCAGCTACACGATTTATGAGCACGGTTTACTCTCCTTGACAAAGTAAAAATTTTTATTTCAGGTATATCGTAACATAGCTGCTACAGATAAATATTTCGCAAGCTTTATTATATTGACTCATATACCACATTGATGCAGGATTTTTACTTCACAAATAGAAATTATTCGCTAACGACTAGCTAAATTTACCTGTGACTTAAATTCTTCCTCACTCGTGAATCAACGCCGCTGTAGTTGAATTTATTACTGAATTACTGTAGAAATAATAATATTAATTAACGTCTTTGATGTTAGCAATTCAATCGGAGGATAAACTTTTATTCAAGAAATTACTGCGCGAATATTAGCATTGCAGATAGAGGTACAGAAATGAATTCAAGTTAAATTATGGACTGGGGAAGAATGCATTTTGAAATACTGTAGCCATGGTAAATGAGCTTAGTAACATCAGAATACTAGAAAAAAAAGCAGGGGTAATTCATAAGATGACGTTTAAATTATAAATTTTAACGTTTTAAACGGACCACTGATTATTTTTTAAAGTTTTTAAATGAATTATTTTAAACTAAGTCCTGAATTTGTCGCTATTTAGTCTACTTTTTGTTTTCCAGTATATAAAATTCTTAGCAAAAAATTATAAATTTGCAATTACATTTCAACTTGGAAATATTCTTATCTTAAACGGTCTTTTGCTATGGAATTAATAAAGTTCCAAAATCTTCTTTAGGTAAATAGAAATACACGGAAGAAATAATTATAAGAATCCTATGAGACGGAAGAAATACATGCAAAAATCTCAGAAGCAGCATTTATACAAAGAAAGCGAGCACAATTTTGGGACAAAAAAGAGTTAAAGAAAACAATGAAAACCGGAAAAAGAAAAACACTAATAATGCAATGACTAAGCTTATTGACTATTATAATGACGAAGATTACATTAAAAACAATGAAAATGAAATAACTCACCTGATAGAAAAGCTATAGATACTTTGACAATACATAATGTTCTAGGCTTTACGCCCAAACTTGGTTCATTCCTAACTATCTGAATGGCTCGGAGTGATATTAATGGCAGGAGAGTAAGCAGCATGAGAAGATGTATAATTCCCAGAATCCCAGAAACTTGCATATAGGACGGAACTTGAAAAAAAGTGTCCAAAGGATCACAATCCTCGGTCCAGTGAGGACCTTTTGTTGAACATATTGTCCATAACCCATAGTGTCCATCTTCTTTGGGCTTTCCTAAGGAATAAAAAACATACAATGTTTATATTTGTAGTGCTTTAAATTAAGACTTGAAAGTAAATTACTTCTTTTGCTTCATGTATTAAAGTTTCGTTTCTGCCAATGTTAACTTCTTATTCTGATATATCAGGCATGAAATAAGTTGGCATTGAGATTCGAAGAAATATTAAAATATTTCGCATCGATTCACTACGATTTGAAATACTTCATACATTAAAAGTATATCTGTACCATCGGAGTATCCTAAATGTTATCCTATAAGATAAATTAATAAGTTTAGATTTCACGTCACATAAGAAATGAATCGTGCACAGAAAAATTCAGATAGTATGTTATTTTTTCCCTTTTCATTAAAGCAACTTTCAGCGACTGCATTTTAATATGGCATGCAGTTTTCAAATAAAGATATATAAAATATCTACGCATTCATCATGAAACTGTTTTGATCTTCGTTCTGTTTAATCAGCATTCTAGTAATTCTTCTGTTTCTGTTTAATTAGCATCTCTAGTAACCATTATAATGGTGAAAATTACAATTACACAAATTATTTGATAGAACAATCAACAATTTAAAACTCATATAGGTAAAAGAGAGGTTCTAACATCTCGAATAGAAAATTTATGTATCATATCAGAAAAGAATTAGAAAAATGAAACTTCCAATTTAAAAAAAATCTAGCTAATTATACTGCGTTTTAATATTGCACACAATTTTAAAATAGATAAATAATAATCTACACATTCATCTTTGTTTCGATGCTCTTGAATTTTGTTTAATCAGCGAATATAACATACTGTTATATGAGAAATAATGGACCGGTATAAAACTTATACCAGCCCATATTAATGTAAATACCGTTACTACTACCAAAGAAATACCTTACTGTTATTATTAGCCATGCACTGCATAAATACAGAAACTGGTAAAGCCAAGCCATTTCACTCCACAAGAATTCATGGAGGCAATCGTTCAGATAGGTAGAGAAGGCACTATCTGGCCTAATCGATGTTCTGGATACTATTTGCAATACTTTTATTCTTTGCCACCACCATTCATCACAATCATTTCAATGGAATTATAGTTTGTGTTTAGCCTTACATCTGAAGCAAAATTTTCCCTGTTTTATGAACGAAGTGAAACTAATACACTAAAGTTGTAGAGACATTAGGTATTTTATTTTGAAAGCACAGAGGCGATAAATGAACAATGCCCTCGCCGGGACTCGAAACACTGACCACTCGAATATTCGCCGAGTGTGCTGACCACTACACCACGAAGGCATGCTAAGAAGGCGGGAGAAATACCTTATTTAATCCCCCCTTTTAAAGAGCGACTGGAGATTAGAGGACCCAATCGCCAAATGCTGGTGGTGGAGAATCATCATCCACCATCTTTTTCAGTTCGGGCGCCACTGCAGAGACATTACGTTATTTCGAAGCAGGAGACTTGAAAAAGGAGTAATGCCTTCGCCGAGACTCGAACCTCTCGAACACGTGCCGAGTGTGTAGACCACTACACCACGAAGGCATGCTAAGAAGGCGGGAGAAATACCTTATAAAGTCTAGTTTACTAGTTTTACAGTATAACTGCGAATGACGTAAACTGTTGTGGAGTCCTTCAACAGACTTATACATGCAGGTGAAATGTATGGCTGTTGCGCATTTTTATCTTTGAGGACAGCATTATATAAAGCGATATAAAGCAGTACATAATATAAGTTGCAATATATATATACATAATATAAGTCGTGTTCAAAATATTAATCTGGCTAGTACTAAACAACTAATTTACGCGCTTTTCTTTACTTCCAGTTAATTTTACACATTGTCACCCAGACGGTATAGTGGTTAGGGAAGGTAAACCGCTGAGTTGGCTTCCGACCCAGGTATAGATATATCCATGCAGAATTGGTTACCAACTCGGCGGGAGTCAACCAATAGCTACCAGGCCGCAGCCCGGGGCAGCCCCGGCTGAGTAGACGACATTTATAAAATGCAAAAAAGATATATACATGTGCATACAAGGCACTTGAAGAAGAGTACAATAATGAACAAAGAAATATATACATGTGCATACAAGGCACTTGAAGAAGAGTACAATCAAAATATGTGTATATACATATAAATACAAACTCGTATACAGATATATACACACTATAGATATATACACACTTACATACATAGATATTCCGAAACAAATAAAAGTACACATACTCTCCCTCATATTGATATATACACCCATACATATACGTTATCATGATAGTTAAAGTTTACAAGAAGCATGCCATTGAGGTACGTGTGATCCTTAGTATAAATTAGGTACCATAAATAAAAGATATAAACATGTACAGATACATTACATCATTCAGATACAGTACGAACTTTATGTATGAGAACCTGGCACAGCATAAATACAAAATTACATATTGAACATACATATTACATACTTTGTTGAGTGGTTAGGGAAACCCACTACAGTACCGAAGGGCCCGGGTTCGAATCCCGGAGAAGACATGGATGTTTTTAAATTTATAGTATCAATGCAGCATGGCGGCACTCTAAATATAAAATAAACTCGAGCCGAAAGTCCTCTCTTATGGATTGGTGGGAGTGGAGAGGGATGGGAGACCCCCGGATCACCCCTCGGGGTGCTCTCCCTCAAAATTGGGAGCGGAAAATAGAAGTCCAACCTCTCTTCGGAGTAGGCTCTGGGCAACTATTGTTCTATGTAGTATGGACAAGACAACAATTTTACACACTTCCCTCTCTCCATTAGTGAAGCGGCTTAATTTTACGAACTTGAAAAAAGATTATTTTTCCATGCATATGCACTTTATACAAAACTAAGACATATATATATATATATATATATATATATATATAGTAAACCTGTTTAAAGAATAAAAGTCCTAGCGTTCTCTCTCTTTTTTTTAAACGTTATGAATTTCTTCAACAAACAAAGATACCTTATATTTTTACAAATGATTGAAAGGACATATAACGTCATTGCCCTATTCGTAATTCTTATTACATAACAGTTTTGATAATTTCTATTTTAATCATTTTTAATTTGTAGTTACAATTATTTTTTTAATAATTTAACGTATTAATACATGTAACTAAGCATGCAACATTTGATTAGTAAACGATTTTTGATAATACGCGTAAATTTCAAAACAGCTGTCTAAATGAAAACATTTTTACTTGGAGACTTTAGTATTTTATTCATTAATAAAAACAAGCTCTTTTAAATTAATATATCAATATGTAATACGCTAAATAATGAAGAAAGTACGGCTGTGAAGATTGATATGATAACTAAAAAGTACTCTTAAATACGATAATTTGTTCCATTTTATTTCACACAATGGAAATTAATTAGGCTGTTTCCAGACATATTCAGAAACCATGAATATGTCATTATCCTCACCGCATTTAATTCTAAACTGAGTCAAATTTCTTCTTAAAAAAAAAGTTGGCTTTTTTCGAAAAAAAAAAAAAAAAAAAAATTAAAGAAAGTTATAGCTACAATTTCCAGACCATGACAACCACCAACAGTCATACCATGCTTCAGATTAAAATATAGTCAACCATTATATTATTTTGCTTTGTATCTAAAGTAAATTTCACCTTGGTAGTGAAAAATCGTTCAACGCATCGTTCAAATTTAAATTTCCCACGGTTAACACTGCCCAAAGGGCACTAAACTCAGTAGGATAGTTTAACTTTCATGCCTCTATCTGCAAAGCAAAAGATACATTGGCTTATCAGCATTTGTGATGAATTCGAAATAAATATTATTTCACTCCAACAGTCTATTTACCTTAAACTCGCCCTGCACAATGGCTTTACAATATATACCACATATTAAGAAGAAGAATGACTATAGGCGATTTTTTTGAAAGCATCTAGGGCGTTCTCGTTTTTAAAAGCGATCAGATTTACGATAAGGTAACTAAGGTAAGTGAAGTGACGATATAAATACACAAATATTGCTCTTTAAACGGACAACCGGATTGTCTTCGATCATGGTGTGAAAAGAGAGCAGCAAAGAACAATAGACACAATAATGGCGACAATAACTTAAGAAACACGAATGCGTTGGTCGTTTGCAAACAAGGGCATGTCATGAATCGTCGATGATTTCAGTTCACTATCATATCGGCCGCAAAGGGTCACAGCGTAGTCATAAGTATAAAATCATTTTCCGGTTCACAGCAAGATTTGTCTGAAAAATCACCCAAACAAACTTTAATGTACTTCACCCCTTCACACTGTATGGGAACTTAAAAACAAAATAGGCTGAGTACAGATTCTGAAGGTTAGATTAGGTTACTGAACATGGCAAACCATGAGAAGGCTGTTTGCCTTGAGCGAAACCTTCGAAAGATGATATTTGTAAATAAAAAATGTTCTACTATTTATTTTACAGTTTTCATGTTAAAGACAGTAAAGCGTTTATCTGAAACACTTTATTAGCGGAAAACAAATACACGATTAGCATTAATTTGAATGGAGGAAGTTTTGACCGTTCAAGGATCTCTCCCAACCCGTCCAAAAACATCCCTACTGAATAATACGGGAGAGCACTAAAAGAAAGATTGATATAATATACATACTGTCTATATAAATAAAAGTTACGACGCTCACTGTAATTTACTTTCCAAACTGAGGAAAACAGAAAGCATACTGGAAAGTTTGAAGACGGTGACAATGACTATAGTGTTTTAAGTTGAGTCATGAGATGAGTTACAAGAATTAGGAAATATGAAGGAGAGAAGGATAAGGGAAGACCACCTATTAGTATCTTTCGCCGTTTATATCCGCAGAGACATTATGTCCATTTTCTATGCCGTTTGCTCAAACGTCGAAGAGCGAAGTTTCTAAAGTATTCTGGCTGATGTGAAAGGCTTGAAATACGACACTATGTTTGTTTAAGCAGACACATTTTTTTCGACAGAACATTTATGAGGTGATGAATGCGCCAATGTGCGACATCCATAATGATAGTCGTGACTGCATGTTTGACCACCTAATAAGAATGCTACTTCATGTTTTATCAATGAGATGGATGAGTGTGGTGTAATGTTTATATACTAGTCTTATACTGTAGGCATTGAACCAAAAAATCGGTTTAAATTATGTACATATTTATAGTCTATCATATAGAATTAAAGTAGAAAGTATCAATATTTTAGAAAGAATGATATATTAATGATTGTCAGATTGATTTTGCTAGTTTTAATAAATAGATAGTTAAAAACACAAAAATAGAATTAAAAAAATTCTTTAATGTACATTTGATTTTTATGAATGCCTAGAAATTTATATTTGCAAATCATTCAGAAAAACGCATATTCAGTAATAAAAATCTAACAATTCGTACAATGACAAAGCTATATATACAATTAGCATTAAATTAACAACAAAACGTGCAAAATAATTGCGGCCAAATAAAGCGTAAAAAATGGACTAATTACGATGCATGTCGTATTTACTTAATTTACGCCCAGTATTTAGGCACAATTACAACTTAGGTCTAGATTTTGCTTTACAGTTTGAAAAAGGTAACATTTATTTATTTACGTATTGTGGAAAAAGTTCTAAAAAGATGCAAATAAAACTCACAAAATTGGAAATTTAAATTGATCTCTAAACTTGAATTATTGAAAATTAAAATTTCATTTTCGATAGTATGAATAAATTTAAAAAAAATTCAATTAGTATGTTACTGAATGATATAGCTCAAAGTTTAGGTTTCACGATTCAATGAAATTTTTCATTCTATTTTTACATATATGAGCAGAAGAAAATAAAAGAATCGAGTTTAATAAAGCAGGGTGTCTAGAAGAGGCCGGTAGTTAATGCCGCAAAATACTGTGGTTTGCAATGGATTCTACTCGCGGCTGTTGAATTGACCGACTACCATTTTCAAAAGAAAAAATCATTCCGAAAGTATCCTTAGCCATATGGTACCTTAGCGTGCTTTGCCATAATCCAATTCTTAAGGCAGATAAAAATTTCATACTTTAAAATCAAGAACTACAAGGTTAAAGAACTATAAGGTAGAAAAATAAAATATGAGTTCAAAACTCCTCTTATGGTTTCAACGTAAAATTCTAAAAAAAATTAACGATGTCCATAATAAATTAAAAACCATTTAGGGGAAAAATCGCACATTAAAGACCAATGAAAAACGAGTGCCAAGAAATCTTAGATTATAAAAGCATTACACATATAATTTTATGTACAATTATTTCACAGATTTATAAATCAAACTATTTTTTTAAACACTAAGATTAAAAATTTCAGTTTTTATTAATTTATTACAAAGTTAAAACTTTAGAGTTCTCTCTGGTGTTAAAAAAATGAAACTCTCTATTATAAATGCGGTTAAACTGTTAGGCATAATCATGGTTAAAAAGGATATTATCAAAGGTACTGTACAAAAGGATTGTAAAAAAAATATAAAGTGCACATGACATTTTTAAGCTATTCTATCCAACTACCACGTAAAAGCTATACAAGGGTTTAGAAATTAGAGGAAGAAACACGAGAAATTGTTTTCGAAATTTTTGCTTTATGCCTTTGATTATACATGTTAAAGCTTTGATACAGTTTAAGCTTGCAGTTTGCTTTTCGTCATAACAACTCGGAAGATTAAACACTGAGATAATTGCTTGACTTTTAAATCACTCCTTGCAATATTTTCTCGTAAGAATAAGTCTTTTTTGCCTTTATACCAAAGGGTTGCAAAGATTTCATCAGCAGTGGTGGCATAAATAAATGAGGAAGAAAAATTAAATCTATTATATGGTAATAAGTCTTTCATTCCATCACAGAATAAAAATTTGACTGCGAAAAATTAAAGCGATATAGGATATGAAGTAAGTCCAATTTAAATCAAGTTTTTATATAGAAATTTGATGAAAGCGTTAAATCAGTTTACTTAGTTAAGAAAAATACAAGACAATAAATACAAAGACAAGTAAGTTAAAGTATGAAAGTCTACACTAATTATAAAGGAATAAAAGTAAAAACTTAAACCGTTAAGAAAACATTTGGTAGTCTTACCTAGATCTACTCGAGCAGAGAATGTAGCCCACCATTTTGTTGTGAGAGCCACCAACTGGAGAAGGAACGTCAGCAACACCAGAAATAGACCACAGACAGGACAGAGGCTAGGACAACTCATGGACATAGTAAGTGGTCATTACAATAGCTTAGCTTTTAAAATAGTACTTCATCCCGCCATCTGTGCTATAAAGAAATAAAAAAAATAAAAGAAAATTTAATTTAAACATTAAAACATTTAAAACATTATTCTAGTCTTAGAATAGCTAGAATAAAACATAGCGCAGGAATTGTCAAGGTTATTAGGTATTTTCCATTCAGAAATTTAAATTTTATTATCGGTTTATGTGTACTAACCAACCTTTTTCACGTTTTACAATTTAGATATCTTTTTATTCATTTGCGTTGTTTTTCTCTTAGCGTATGCGCTAAAGATTTACATGTTTTTATCAGTTTGCGAAGAAAAGTGTAGAGTAAAAATGTGATCGGGAAACATCATTCTAAGAAAAACCAATACAAAAAGGTTTATAGAGACATATTTCGTCCGCGGTTTTTGAGATGACGCTTCAGTGTATTTTAGCGTAATTTTTATTTCCTTTTTGTCGTAAAAATATAGGTCAGTCTTTGAAATAAAACTTTCTGCATAGTACATGCTTTTGAATTAACATTTTTAGACTAAAAATCTTGTAAAATTTCAAATGCTTCCGAATTTAAGATAGCTAGGGTCAATATGTATGGTTTTATATTAAGTAATAAATTACCTTATTATTTTGCCTGCTTTCACCGACTCCCACCAAGATGCAAACTAGTTAATGTATATAAGGGCAGAGTTCTGGAGTTCAAAAGAGGGCCTTGGCCATTATCTCCGGTTACTCTGCGACAACTATCTATTACTGATGTGAATTGCTTAATCGGCTTTAACTTTATTAGTCATATTTGTTTTGTGAGAATATTGAGGCCGAAGCCAAAGCTTATTTAGGCGCGAGGTACTTTTTATTTGAACGTTTCTCCCGAATTTTCTGCGAATTGCGGAGATTTAATTTTTTCTATTATTGTTTTCAGTTTGTGCAACCCTAAGGCTGGCGTGTAAATAAAAAGGTTTAATTTAAACTTAAGTCTGTGTTACTGTATTTGGTGATACGTAGTTTGCCTCTCTGTTCTTACGGTCTTAGAGATTGTCACGGGAAGATTCCAAGTTGGATGGGAGAACATCGACACATTCATTTTACGGAAGAACATCGACACATTAATTTTACGGAAGAACATCGACACATTAATTTTACGGATGAACATAGACACATTAATTTTACGGAAGAACATCGACACATTAATTTTACGGAAGAACCCCGACGGACGGAAGAACCCGACGGAAGAACATCTCATTTCAGGTATCTTGTAGATGTCATGCGAGCTTCAATAAAGCTACCCATCAGTTTTGATGGAAGTAGCTCGGTATTAAGTTTTGTGGAAGGGCTCGAAAATCACTGTTTTCTGTATCCAGTAGAGGAGCAGCAGAAGGTAGAGATAGCACCGTCTGTGTTGAAAAAGCAGGTTTTGATCTGGCTCAAAGGCATTGAAAAAGTCTGTTATGTGAAACTTGGAGACATACATATAGTTTTAATAATTTTAAAGTCGCACTAATTAAAGCATTTCCCTCAGGGGTCCGTTGGATCAGAGTTATTCTGAAAATATCAGATGGTATGGGGAAGAGTGATACAGTTGATCTTGCTAAATTTGCTACTGCAGGTATAGGATTTCATGGCATTGTTTTTTTCTAAGAGATTACGCGGAACTTACTACTGCGAATTCGACAAAAGGACCTGAAGCAACTCTGCTTAGAAGCAGAAAGAAATTCTAGAGTCACATTTCAGAATACGTTCCATAATGTGTTGTTGTTTCATATTATTCCGAGGCAAATAAAGTGTGGAAAAATCTGGGCAAAACCTCGAATCATAGCAGGACGTGCTTTCTAGTTATACTAGGAAGGTATGCAGTAGAAAACAAAATACCTTACATAACCTTTCAGTTCGGGCGCCAATTGTAATGGTTTGGCCATGCAGAAGACGAGAAAATGTGCAATGCTCTCACCGGGGCTCGAATTTCGGACCTTCCGATTGCTAACCAGAGGTGCTTTTCAGCTATACTACGCAGTAAGAAGAAAGAAACTACCTCACAGATGTTCAATCTCTCAGTGCTTCTTCAAAGGGTGTTTGTACATTTGACATAATAATAAGAACTCCAAGTCCTTCCTTCTTCCTCTCAGCGTTGCTTCAAATGGTGTTTGTACGTTTGACATGGTGATAAGAACTCCAAAACCTTCCTGCTTTTCATATTTGGAGAACCGTTTTGGGAAAACTTTGGTTTTAAGCTGAAAGAATCTGAAATTAAACACGCCTTCGACATAAAGGTAAAGAACTACAGTTCATGCTATATAGCGAGATAGTAAAGAACTATTCATACTGGTGGGGTTTTCTAAGCAAGTCTTGCCACATTTCTGAGAATGCACTGATGTTAATAATTGGACTATTTACAGTTAGTTTGGGCTTAATTATCATACAAAATTCTTCACTCCGTCGATTAATGGTTTATTATGTTGGCACTAAATGGACTAGATGTAAACGGAGGAGCATTAGGCTGACCGAGTAATGAATGATTGGCGAAAACGAAAGAATTGCTCACGCAACACCGAGAGGGAAATGCAGTGTCAAAAATGTAACACTTTTAAAATTGTTTTTAAATTAATAAACAGTACTGTGTAAATAATAGTATTGTTATTTTAAATATCTTAAACTGTACGTTTTAGTGTGTTTCAAGGATTTGAAATACTAATTTCTATTTCTAAATAAATTTCTAATTATTAAGCTAATTTGGCATTTTTTCTTGCTGTTACCCTGAAACAAGTGCCTCATCTGCTTCAACATGTTTGGACTCCGGAGTTAAAAGAATTATAAATTCGTTTCATTTCATTTTCTACTCTTCCCCCTTTCCTCCGAGACGAAAACACAACTTAATAATGTTTACTATTAACATAAGCTTTACGATATTTAATATGAAGCATGATAACTGATGAACAAAAGATTACATCCACGTGGCAAATTTATGCACCTTAAAAAGCATAATTTCTACCTGACAATAAAAAACTGTTTTTAATGTTAAAATATGAAGACATAACATAATTAACAGTGGAGTAAACAAAGTAATTAAATAAAACACTATAATGATTTCCAATAAATCTGACACTGGGTAAAACATACTTCTCTCGCATTTAATCATGGCAATCAGCGAAACAACTTTTCAGAATACTGAATTTGTACAACAATTACACCACGTCGGATCATTTTATCATTTGGATAAATGAATCATCAACTCCGTAAGATGATTAATCATTTTTAATTAGAGGGTGAGAATTTGCTATAATATAAATGTCTTTGCAAGTCAGCTTCACACTGAGCTGTCCTTGAGGGCAACGAATGAAAAGCTGCATTGCGAAAAAGGAAAGTCAAGAAAGCTCCATATATTAATAAGTTATACGAAATCACGGGATTAATGACTCTAACGAAATATTCATGATCTGCAAATTCGAAATATTTTTTGCTGATTAAAAGATCAACATCCTATCAAATATTTGCTTCATTAGAAATGCACGTTTTTAAATACAAGTATATTCCAAAAACTTTGTAATATTTTAAGATTCTGTAACGGAAAACTGTTATATTACAGAAGATTGCTGTTTGCATAAAGATATAAAAATGAAGTTTTCTTCTCGTAAGATTAAATAAATTATTATTTTCCCCCAGAAGAAGCTGATTATACCGTTAAAATTTAAAACAAAAGGATATCTTAGATTTGATCATAATTCTAATTAATAACAAAATTTCTGTTTTATTCTTCACAAAAACTGCATTATACTCTTTTTCTTTTCAACAGATGCGTTCCATACAAACACAGTTTTATACAATTAAAAAAAGCTCTAAAAAATTTCATACAAGTAGAGAGGGTTTATTGAAAGTGATGTACGCTTTTAGGAGTATAATTTAAAATTAGATGCACGAAAATGTTAGGAATCCTAATAGATTGTAATGCTGTCTCAAAAATCCAGTTAAGCTACAAGCTAACTGAACACAAATGTACTGCATTACTTTTCAAAAGAAAAGAGGAGTAACTAAACAAAAATAAAAAACGAAATCCATGCTTTAATCAATTACATTTAAATTTCTCAGTTAACATTTTCCCTAAAGGAAGCATATTAGTTTACTTGTTCATTTTATAAAATCTGAAACTAAACTGCTTCAAGAAGTTTAAGTTTGAAAATTCCGATAAAAGAATTAAGAATTTTAAAAATGCCCGTTGCCAAGGAACCGTGTTTTAACAGCTAGTTATGCAAAATTTGCTCACTGGTGCAATAATTATTTGTTTTCAGAGGAACTGGGCAATTCACTTTTTGTAAGAAATAACAAAATATTGCCAATTGGGAGCTATACCACACAAAAGGTTCAGTCTGTTCCACAGAAACTGCTTCATCGTCCAACCAAGTAATGATGCAATTATCATATTGATGAACCAGGTTAAAGATTTCCTTATTTTAGAAATCTATTTTTTGCTTCATAAAAAATTGATTTCCCCTCTTGATATCATTACACATTGGAAATCCTTTTGAGGAATATTTTTACGGTTCCAAAGTTGAAAAAAAAATATCTCACAGTGGAAGATCCGGAATGTTAGTCTCCTAATTAAAGGCATTCAAGTTCTGCTTCTCAAGACAACAGTATTTTGAATTAACTGCGCGTTGCAACATAAAGACCAGAACTGCATTGCTTTTAAGATCATCCGCAAAGGGAAAAGGAATAGTTGCATATTAGTCTGCTTTTGTAAGCATTTGCTAACAAAGACACTACCAGTTACGAGCATCACATATCACACGCACGAATCTGACAGCAACGAATACTTGAACAGCCATACGGTTCCATCATGATTATGAAATCAACTCACCCAGTACGGATATCATAAATACGAAAGTCACAACGCCATCCATAAGCAACTTTTTAGCCACTCCTTGCATTATGTTCCGAAGCCTATTAGGCTTGAAAGAAATGTCTTCGGAATTGTTCCAGCCCAATAGGTTGAATAGAGGAAAATTACGAAAATGCATATGTAGCTCACCTGTTCACCCGGTAAGTAAATCTTAG